CCCTAACCCTAACCCTAACCCTAACCCTAACCCTAACCCTAACCCTAACCCTAACCCTAACCCTAATATCCTCGCGCTCACCAAGGGTCCGTCGCGCACTGGGCCAGTCTCCATTTTGGTCCGTCGCTCCTTTTTCGAATTTTGCGTGGATTTTCCGTTGGCGGGCGCGGACGGTCCGTCGCAAACGGGCTACGGACACGGCGTAGCGCTAGTTTGACAGTTGCCCCTACCCGGGGTTTGCCTTGTAACGCTAACCCTTTGGAGTGGGCCACCTTGGGGTCTGTGGGCCAGCCCACCCCAACTTTGGTGACAGGTACCAAGACTTTTCACTACCAAACTTGCCTGGGGTCTGGTAATCAAATGTGATCAGAACCATGCTAGCATCCATCTGGACGCTGCAGACGCACTCTACAGACACTTTGAATTTTGACCCCAACCTTGACCCCAAGCCGACCCTATGGGGTCAGAATTTCACATCATCAGAACTGGCTGCAATGTGTCCGGCAGAGATGCTTGGCTTGCTCTGTCCATATTGGCTGCTTGAAATGGGTCTGTTCATATGCCACATTGTGCTGGGCGGCCTTGGGGTCAAACCTTAGGGTCAACTTTTTCACGTTTGACCCTATGCTGTCATGACCATCCATCTGCTGCTTCTGATACTGCGCATAGCTCCATTTGCCACCGTTTGCCACACCTTTCATTAAGAGAGCAGCTCAAAAGGGCTCACTTTTCAGTGCCGGTGAGAGCTCCAAGGGTCCCCCCTTTGGTTTTGCCAACTTTCTCACTCTTTCTGCCCCCACACCGTCAGTTCTCATCTCCCATCTCTCTTACTTGCAGAACCAACGTTTGCAGCCTGAATGCTCATGACTGATGCATTTGCAACCTGTTTGGCCCCCAAAAAATATTTTGACCCTATCTGACCCTAAGCCCCCGACGACGCCTTCAAGTCGACCCCACGCAAAATCCTACTGATAAACCTCCATAGGGTCTCAGCCAGCAATTGTTCTACAAGGATCACTCTATCCATTGCAGCAATCAAACAGGCTGGCCCTAAGTTGGGCAGCACCTTGTAAGACTGACCCTACTCTGTCAGATCAACAGGCAGCATCCAAGCAGTCAAGGCTGCCACCAATACGCTTCAAATCACATAGCAAGTCAGTTGAAGGCT